ATATGTTGGAATTCTCCAACAGTTTTGGCTGGATTTCCAGTTTGGCCGTGGTTTGGTGTTTGGGGGTGTAGTGTGTGGTGTTGTGTTTGCAGTGGTTTGGTGGTGTTTGTTTGGATGTTGTGTCGATTGTTTTGCTGTTGTGTTGTCTGGTTTTGTGTTTATTTTGTGTTAGTTTGTTTGGGTCGGTTTGTTTAGGCTTGTTGTGAAGTCCAGACAATGTCCGCTTCTTTTTGCGGAGGTGCTCAAGTGCTGATTGCGTAGTTGGCTTTTTACCGGAATTTTTCTGCTTTAAAGTCACAGTTGTTTTTCGACTTCGTTTGGCATGTTTGTTGTTGTCTGTTGTTTTTGCGTCCTGTATTGTTTGTTGTTGAGTCTTGTTTTGTTGTTGTGATTTTTGTTGCGTTAGGGTAGCACTTAATCTCTCTTAGGAGAGTGATGTGTCGGAGGTTGTCCTCCTTGCATCCGCCTTGTGCGATTTTTAATGCATTTGCATTTCAAAAAAAAAAAAAATTTATTTCCATGCTGAATATTTTATTGAATTGTTTTGTTAATGGATGTCTTAGAATTGGATCAATCGTAGTTAAATTTGATCGACACTATCGATTTTTATTGGAATCGACATCTCTATTATATTCGCTCAATCACATATAAACTATGCCCGATAAGAAATTTCAACGTTTCTTTTTCATTTGTTGAGGGGAAAAACAAAAATGATAACATTAGTATCAAGTCACGTTACTCGTAAAATGATAAAATTAGTTTTTTGGAAAAAAAATATTATGGAATTATTATACATTTCACGTTTATAAAATATTAGTTATAAGGGGATGAAATTGTATTTTGAATTAAATTTACGTAATTCGATGCAACCTCTCTCGTACCATAGCCTAAGCAAATATGCAGAGTGATTCCAGATCGCTACTCAAGAGCTATTAGCCAAGGCACAAGTTTTATCACCAAAATTTGGCTTTTCACTCCCTTGATTCATAGAAATGAAGCATTCGCAGAAAAAAATTTCCTATCCGATCAAAGTGAGAAACGTTCTTCGTTTTAGATCTACTGGTACGCTATATATCTTTATGAACTCCTACGTTTTAGTTATTTCTTGGAGTAGTTCAAATATATGAAGATGTATATCGTATTGAGTGCATGGTTCCAATTGGTGGACCATCAATGTGAGTTTGGTAGTTAAAGTATTCATCAGCAATCACAAGGATTTAATGCAAATGTTAAGAGGCATCAGGATCAGATAGCCCTGTTCAAGTTGATCAGGAAGGTATTGCCGATTGAAAATTGAATGAGTCAGCTGAAGCAAAAGAGGAAAATGAAAAAAGAAACTTGTAATTAAAGAGGAGAAGACAGGTGTTACCTCTAGGTATATGCTTGGTGTGTTAACACCAAATACAAAACTCAGAGAAGCAAATCAAAACTATAGTACAAGAAGGAATGAGAATGAGAAT